CGGTGTACAAACAGGCTGTTGTTGTCCTGTGGTTTGGTGGTAGTTGTGTTTATTGGCGTAATTGTGTCCGAGGAGGGTGGGCTTTGGGTTAACTAGTGGTTAGAAGTTTCTACCCTCCCTATATGTTGTGTCCACCAATTATATCTGTGTTTCAAGTTGGGGTAGCGCTGGGCTGGGCGTCTGTTGAAGTTCATATTGAAAATAAAGGAGCATTCGCCTGCTCACTCTACATTCTCTAGTTCTTTTTCTGTGCCAATGCTGCTATATAAAATAAAGGTTCTGGGTAGAACCCTTAAATTGCTGTAGAACCTTTACAGAGGAATTCTGGTGATTTCTGAAGGTTTCTGCATAATTCAGACCTTCAGATGCAAAGTTATTCGGAGTGTTTTGATGTAAGACGGTTGTATTTGATTGTGGAGAAACTTGCCACCTCAGATTTCTTTGCAGTGGTGGTGATGGGAACCAGGAGGAGCAGTGTCTACAACTCAAACTTAACTGTCTAGAACCACCACGTAACCTACACGTGTCTTTCTAACCTATATATACAGTGTTGATGAAGGGAAAATAGTGGAAAATGTGAAAATAACAGGTTTTCTTTGGAGACTGTTTTAACTCACAATAGACCTAACCATGGTCAGTTTACAAATCTGTTTTAAAATGAGTAGTGACCCAGACATTCGTCAGAATCTTAAATATTTAGCCATTTTACTTCTCATCACTTTTCTTTGTTTTGAATTTTTGTGTTATTTCCAGGCTTAAATGAATAAATTCCAGATTTTCTGTCTATTCTCAGGCTTTTGGACCCCGCTGTATATCTGCCAAACGTGTGCTAAGCTGCTGTTAGTGGCCCTTTCATTACATTCAGTTCAGGCTAGGGCCGTCGTTTTCCTGCACATGAATACGGACGAGTCATCCTTTGACGTTTCAAAGGAGCGAAGGTAGCCTGGAGGAAGCCACCCCCACGGCGGAAGGATACGGTACACAAAACCAGCAGTGAGAGGCAGACGCCATGAAAACGGAGAGAAGACGACAGCGGAATATAAACATTGACGGGCAGGGCTGCATAATGTGACTGTGCAAACATACCAGCCGTGTATCTGCATCCCTTTTGAATGGTGTGGCCTTTTTATTATGAAGAACACTAGACCAGCAGCAAGAGCGTTGGGCCCACTGTGTTCTTCTGAATTGGCCTACTTGGAGCCTTCATTGAGGGATGTCATCATATCTCTTTAAGCCAGTGTAACCTACAGTCATACCTGTTTCTCCTCAGCTCTTAACGCTGAATTATTCAGGAACAGTGCTGCGCAGTGTGTTGAAAGTGCTGTACTTTCTCAGTACTGCAGCGCGGTAAACAGTTCGGTACTTTAAGCCGTAGTCACTGTGGACATTCGCAGTTTGTGTCGCCCTAGAAATGACCAAGGCTAGACTGGCAAACTGGCCACAACTCACCAGCCAAGAACAGCGAAAACATAAAGGAAAAGTAAACATAATTAAAGTATGTGAACCATTTAGTGTTCTCGTTAAATATGCTCTGATCTTCATCCAACCCTTTCGGCTCTGAAGGCATTCTCTTGATTTGTGCATATGGGTCATTCTACAGAAACGTCCACTTTTCTATCTGTCCATAGGAGTCACTGGTGTTACTGATCCTCACTGGTGTTACCGATCCTCACTGGTGTTCCACATAATAAAGGAACACCAGAGACATTTTTAATAAACAATGCATTTTACAGAATGGCTGCTACAGAGCATCAAACCACATGTTGTCAGTCAGGGAATATCCACTAAAATATGGAATTTAATCCATTTGTGTTCTATTTTTTCACAGTGACCTCAGAATAAAGTGGGTCACACCAGTGACTTCAGCTAAAAGCTTCATATGAAATCATGAGCTAAATGAGAAAATCTCTGATAACTGAAAGACACAGTGGACTCACCATGAGCTTTTCTTCATAGATCCTCAGAAAACAGGTAAAAGGAAGTCGAGTGATGTCATCAGTGTGACTTTTATTTCAAAATAAGAGATTTTTTGTTACGCATTAACACCAGTGACTCGACTCCTGGAGACCACAACTTTCATTATATATTTTATAATATTTATTTGTTTTCTTTGTCATTTAATTTATATATTTCATAGTCATGTATAGATTATTGTAGTTAAAACTGCAGAATGAAACATGTTTTTACCTCAAAATATGGCCTCAGCCTTTACAGATGACTGTGGGGATGAGCTCTTCTGTGGTGCTTGGAGTTCTATATGTTTAATTTTAAAAACCAGTATTGCTGAATTGAGGCTCAAGGTGTAAGAAGAAGGTGTAATTGTTAAAACAGCTTATTGTTTTATTTTAAAATATAAATAAATTGTAACCCTAACGTAATTGTAATATATCTGTAAATGCTCGGGACACAAAAATGGACGTTTCTGTAGAATGACCCGTATCTTCTTAAATTCTACGTATGCATGTAACATGATACCATGAGCCCTCAAGAATCATTTACCTGCTTAAGTGCTTCTTTGCAGAGCAAAATGGTTCTTCAGATTGATGGAGAATGTGTTGTGTATCACTCTATATAGCACCAAAAAGGTTCTGCTGTTGTTACAAGCGTGACATCATAAGAATGGCAGAACCCTTTTTGGTGCTACATAGAACCATATACAACACATTCTCCATCAATCTGAAGAACCATTTCACCATGTCAAAGAACTACACTATGGTTCTTTAATAAAGAAAACTGTTCTATACAGAACCATGAACACTCAAAGAACCATTTGCATGCTTAAATTGTTCTTTGCATGGTGAAATGGTTCTTCAGATTGATGGAGAATGTATTGATGATGGTTCTATATAGAATCCTTTTTTGAAAAATGGTTCTTATATTGTTACTATGTAAGCCTATAACAATAGCCTTACCCTTTTTGGTGCTATGTAGAACCATATACAATACATTCCCCATCAATCTGGAGAACCATTTCACCATGTAGAGAACCATTTAAGCATGCAAATGGTTCTTGAGTGTTCATGGTTCTACATAGAACCATTTTCCTTACTTTAGAACCATCTCTTTAAGAGTGTACGTTCAGTCAAAATTCTGCTGTCATGAATGAAGGTAGTGAATGAGCAGATATTCATTACTCTAATATAAAAACGGTGAAAAAGGTACATGGTAATGATGTTTTAATGCCCCGGTTATTGAGTCCGGTGTCTGTCCAGGTGCTGGAGAACGTGCTCTTTCCATGACAGGCCTTCAAAAATTCCGGCTGAACTCGCTCAGATGGAGCAATTCCCGAGCGTATCGCCTCAGTAGTCGCCCATTAAAGAACAAAGCCGGCGTTTCTTTGAGGTGATCGCTTAATCTGTGTGTTTTTAACAGCCTGTTTTCCTGTTCTCCAGTCATCAGAACCGAAGTCCTGCGTATCTGCTGAAATCATCAGAACCCCAGCCCTAAACCGTCTGCACCTTCTGGCAGCACATTAGCAGCTCCGTCTCTGAGCGCCTGCCTTTCTAGTCCTGCCAGTGGGAGACCTTTTAATGGTGGCCAAGCCGAGTTCCACGCTGAAGATGGAGCTCAGTCTGTTTTACTGTAGAAGTAAATGAGGAAAAGGCTTTGCTGGGGGGGTGTAGTGGTGGGGGGATTGAGGCTGATAGAGTCTCTGACTCTGACTCTGTCCGGCGCAGGGTTGATGCAGCGTCACGGTGAGTTTTTTGAAGCGGCGAGAGTCAGTAGTCCTGCCAGCTCCATTACCACACCGCCGCTCGCCCGGACACGGCCGCATCATTTTCATGCTTAAATGGATTTATTGTGAATGCAGCATGTTCTAATGAGATTTCCCTCCCTTTTACACCCTCTCTCTCTCTCTCTATCTCTCTATCTCTCTCTCTCTCTCTCTCTCTCTCCCTCACTCTCTCTCTCCCCTCTCTCTCTCTCTCTCTCTCTCTCTCTCCCTCACTCTCTCTCTCTCCCTCACTCTTTCTCTCTCTCTCCCTCACTCTCTCTCTCCCCTCACTCTCTCTCTCCCCTCTCTCTCCCCCCCCTCTCCCTCCCCCCCCCCTCCCCCCTCTCTCTCTCCCTCTCTCTCTCTCTCTACCTCTACCTCACTCTCTCTCTACCTCTACCTCACTCTCTCTCTCCCTCTCTCTTTCTGTCCCTCACTCCCTCTCTTTTTCTCCCTCACTCACTCTCTCTCTCTCCCTCACTCTCACTGTGCTCTCTCTCTCTCCCTCACTCTCTTTCTGTATTCTCCTTCTCTCTCTCTCTCTCTCTCTCTCTCTACCTCTCTCTCCTTCATTCTCCCTCACTCTCTCTCTCTCCTTTCTCTCTCTTTTTTCTACATTTCATTCCCTTTTCTCTCTCACTCCCATTTCTCTCACTATTTCTCTATCTTACTTCTCTCTCCCTGTCATTTCTTGCTCTCTCTCTCCTTTTTCTCACACTATCATTTCTCTCTCTCCTCCCTCCCTCGCTCCTGCTCACTCTTACTGTGCTCTCCTCCTCTCCCTCCCTCACTCATCCCTCACTTTCCCACTTTTGCTCTATATCTTTCCTTTTCCTGTCACTCTCTCTCTTTTCTCTGTCTCTTTTTTCTACCTATCACATTCCCTTTTCTCTCTCACTCCCATTTCACGCTCACTGTTTCTCTATCTCGCTTCTCTCTTTCTTCCATTTCTCTCTCTGTTTCTATCTCTCTTGTTTCTCTCTCTCCTGTTTCTTGCTCTCTCGCTCTATCATTTTTTTCTCTCATTTCTCTCTTTCATTTCTCTCTCGCCTTTTCTTGCTTTCTCGCTTTCTCTCTCACTCACTCATACACCCCGTACCCATTTTCTTGCCCTCTCTGTTTCCTTCTCCTCCCTCCTGATTTCTCTCTCACTCTTTCTCTCTCTCTCTCTCTCTTTCTTTCTCTTGCCGTCTCTATGGCTCATTTCTTGCTCTCTCTCTCTCTCCTTTTCTCTCTCTCTAATTTCTTCTCTCTCTCTCTCTCTCTCTCTCTCTCTCTCTCTCAGATACCGCCTGCCTGTCAGTGAAGATGGAGGGTTATGTATGATTGAAATAGCTGTGGCTAATGGAACAGCTAATCGACGGCAGAAGTATGTGGCCGAGCGCGTGTCAGAGGTAACTGCAGAGCTCTAACCGCCACCGAATCAACTACACTCGATGTGTAACTGTGCCACTGTGTTATTCAGAGGGGGCGTCTGCTGTGTCAAGCAAAAGTAATGCAATCATACCTTTAACATATTACAGAACCAAATTACCTGCTGCTGTATTCAGATTAATGGCACATCAGTGCGCTCACCGCAGGCATGCGCAGTCAGTCATTAGGCCTGGTTCGGAAGGCTGTTGTTTCAGTGGATGTTTATTGGTAGTAACAGGGGAGCTCAGTCCATACACTCTACACTCTGCTGACTAATAAGACAGCAGATGAAAATCAAGAGTAATAAATTTGATTCCACTCTCAGGGGAAAAAACGAGTAGTTCATCATAGTGATGAGCTCCACAGTTGTTAATTAGCTTTTCTCATATTGCAGCAGTGCAACCGTTTTCTATTCAGGCCCAAAATGCATTGCATGTTGACATTTTAATAAGACGTACAGTAATAAACTGTGGTGAACTCTGCCTGTTAGAGCCAGACCTTCAGTTCAGGCCATCCATGTCTAAAGCAGGAAAAATGTAATCTCTACAGTGACGCTGATATCTACATTCAAACCATAGATATACATACCTGGATGCCGTGTTGGGTCCAACCAGGCACGTCAATGGTGCGCCGCTGTTTTGGGGCGGTCAGCATCACTGCTGGACTGTATCCAGTACCATTACAGAGCGTCAGTTTAATAAAGATACTGTCCAAAATTACACTATTTCAGGAATATCACACTCAGAAAGTGGGATAGGATTATATAACGGAGGGAACGCAGTGATCCACACTCATGTCTGTGTGATGTGTATTGTTTGTATGGTGTTTGTGTAGATATGGCCGTGTGGTTAATGAGGCACAGAGAACCTGTTGATGTGATTGGTTTTCCTCTGGTTTTATATTAAGCTGATTTCATTTAATAGTCTATTCAGGATCTTAACTTTATGTAGTAGTTATTTATTTACAATGATGGTTAAAGCTTTGTAGCTCGGTAAGTTGTAGCATTCCTTAATCAATGTAGATATTAATAATAGATTTTCTGTTCCACCTTAAAAGGTGCATCAGCCAGCTTCTTGTTTGAATTTACCCATTCCACCTTAAATGGTGCATCAAACAGTATCTTGTTCAAATTTTCCTGTTCCACAAACAAAATTTGGTGAAAATCGGTTGAGTAATAAGGAAGTTGTGGCTGATTTAATCCTGAGACTCTTCGTCTCTCAATACAAGTGAATTTGTTCGTAAGCGGATCTTGACCTCTCCAACATGGCGGACGCTCAGATGCATCGCCTAAGATAGAGAACAACAGACAGCTATGTCAGACGCGGCATCTGTGTATGGATATCTATGATTCTAACAATATGTTAGCACTAAGCTAATATGCTAAAGCTGGTGCACATTAATTTTTGGCCGTTCTAGATTAAACATGAACATTGAAAGCATGTAAAAGACATTCTGTATGTTGTGTTTGATGTTTGTAATAAACTTTAACATATCGCTGTTGTCAGAACAAAACCGCGTATCTCCAAAATGGTAACTTTGCAGGAGAAGGAAAAAACATACTTTACTTTTAATGTAAGTCAATGGAGTCAGGTCATTTTGGGTCATTTCTTTTGATTCATTCATTATGACATTTACAAATAATGTAAAGACCAAGAGGCATTTTCAAATTATGTCAAAAAGTACAAAAATGGAGATAGAAGGTCCCGACGGCAGCGATATATTTTACTTTATAAAATCATACCATTCAGTCCAGTACGTTCTCTCATGTAAATACTATTTTTTTTGTTTGGGTGGCAAAAAAAACATGACATTTTATTTGCCGGCAATAAAAACTCATTGACCAATCACGGTTGCCTCTGCTGTTGGCATGGCGACAACCAAGCTGATGGAGCAGCAAACAGAAGTTCTTCACAAACGCTAAAACGATCAGAATCTCCAAAAGCAGCAAAAACTGAGCTACAGATGTTAAATGAAATGTTTAAAACCAAAGCTTAGCAGTGAAGTTGTGCTTCTACAACGTTTGCAGAGTATAAATACAGCAAGTTCGATGACTCTGTTAAATAAAAATCAACAGACATGTATCCCAGAAACAGTCCAGCCTTCTCTGAAGATCTACAAGGCCCTGAGGGTCTTCTGGAGTATATAGTGTACATTCGTCTGATTAGTGTTGACCCCCGCAGGTTTTGCTGTCATTGACTCCTACTCTGTTTCATCACTACATACCAGGAAATTAGCTGGACTTCTAAGACGGACAACTTCTAAGAAAAATGCAGCCCTACTCACTACGCCCTAGTCCATTCATTAAGAGACAAATAAGCAAATCTCAGCGCGGTGGTGCTTCGATTTTCCTCTCGTAAGGCACTGTGACTACATTTCCGCTGACTCAGGTGAAACTAGGTGTTCAATTGTATATTGATTTCGTTTGATATGGGTATTGCTGCCTACGGAGCAAGACAACAACAGGCAGAAATACTGTTCGCTAGCAAATGAGCAAACTGCTGTATATTGTTCAGATGACAGTACAAGAGGTGGACTGAATAACGCAGTGCAGAACAATGCATTTTAATGTCAAGCTTTACAGTGTACGCCCACCGTTTGCCTTCAGACAGTAGAGCAATATTATTGCAATGTCAACAGCTTTGACCAGACTGGATATTGTGTTGAGATGAAGATTGACATGGTCCTCATAACTACTGAAGAAACTCTCTGGAAGAATTCCACCAGTTTTTTTGCAAAAGAATTTCATAATTTACCCATTAAGATGTAACAGAGTCGTTCAGAGTGGTTCTCTGTTCTAGATAAACTCACAGAACTGTTCACAGTGGTGATGATAGGAACCAGACGTCCTCCTCTAAAAGCTCCCTCACAGAAAGTTACTACAGTAAATGGTTATGAATTCACTGCCTGATGACTGAGACACTGTTTTATGATAGTTTAGAGAACTTAAACTCCATTCATGGTGGAGGGATACATGCAGGGCGCTGTGAGGCAAAATAGTCCCCAAAGAAAACTTATTATTTCAGATTTGCCACTATTTTCCATCATCAACATTCCATATGAACTCAGAAGACTCGTGTAGGTTCACTGGTGGTTCTGGATAGTAAATAAAATGTCTATATTTGTGTTGTAGTCATGGCGACCACCACTGTAGACTTGGTAAGCTTCTCTACAGTGAGCAGTTTTACAATAAAATGCTCGTATACTTTGTTTACATACTTTTATATTGACTGGATTTTGCAGAAGTTGAAAAAGTGGAATTCTGATTTAACTGTTTAAATATTTGTTCAGCAGAGATTAGTGACCTGTTTAAGGAAAAAAAAGATTATTGCATAGTATAAATGTAGCATAAGTTGCCATGGGGGAATGATTTTTACAACTCATGTGGAAATTTACAGTATTTGAATGATAAGTGATAAAAAAAGGGATTTGAGTGATGAATGATAATGATAAAAGTAATTTTAACTAAATAATTTGTATTCTATGTGAACCTCTTGATTCTTAACACCTTCCTCAAGTTTCTCTCAGAATGGACTGATCTCCTGTCTATCAGCTCAATCTGTTGATCCGCAGCCCAGTGTTATTTTGGCTATGCACTCTCTTATGTAAGTATTTATTGTGAGAGTTTTGGAGAGGCTCTTTGTAACTGCAGTGTATTCTGAGCAGCAGATAGCTAATAGGCTAACCATTAATAGGCTCCATTAATATTCAGAGACACCCTAAGTTTACGTCTGTGCAGCTGCAGAGTATAAAAGGAAAACATTACCTTAATACACATTATATGCTTTAAATGTCTGTGTTTGGCCGTAGCCACTCTTAAAAATGATGGTTTATCAAGGGTTCTTTAGTAAAGAAAACAGTTCTATATAGACCCATAAACACTCAGGAATTATTTGCATGATTAATTAGCATTGCTAAATGGTTCTCATATTGATGGAGAACATCCTGTATATGGTTCTATATAGAACCTTTTTGAAAATGGTTCTATATAGCACCAAAAAGTGTTCAATCTCAAGCCTGTAAAAATAGAAGAACCCTTTTTGGTGCTGTATAGAACCATATAAATCCAATCCCCATCAATCTGAAGAATGCTTTCATGATGCAACATTTTTTGAGTGTTCATTGTTCTATATAGAACCATTTTTTTTACTGAAGAACCCTTGAAGAACCCTTGAAGAACTGTCCAACCGGGTATGTAAGTTAAATGCCAAAACTGTGAATATGCACCACTTCTACCATAGTGCTACATAATACTAAGCCTATATGGACACTACTGGAATTAGACGCTTCACATTATGCTGGTGTTAATCCAAGCAGTGCATAGGCAGAAATACATTTTTGGGTTGGCCTGGGAAAAAGTGAGTAGGCCAGTTTGGTAGATACTTCAAAACGTCATTACATCAGACTGTAAACTGCTCCAGACAGCCGTGGAGGCATCATCCTACCTGTTCCAACACTTTGACCGTCTGTGGTGTTACCACATTCTGTAGATCAACCAAAACACTGGATTTACATAAAAACATCAAACACTGCAGCATGCTTCACTGTAAAGACGGTATAGCAGGCATCTGCTCACCACAGGCACGATTGCCCAGTGAACACGACATAACCAACGGAAAGCTAGAATCAGACAGCTGAGATGCACAAAGGCGGGAAAAACAACACAGCTAACGTAATAACCTAAGCCTAGTCGTCATAGGCTAAATGGACACAGCGGGTGGACCCCAAGAAGACGACGTGACTGAGATAAATTCAGACAGCTGAGATGTGAAAAGACGAGAAAACACTGCAGACTTAAAAACCTAAACCTGATCCATTCGTGTCTTACCTTTGATTCACTGAAGTAACAGAGTTCAGCCTTTGTAGTAAAACTGACGACGACAGAAAACCGATGACGTTTTTCAGCTTTGAATGGGTTGAAAACAACAAGATGATTCTTCAAGTGTTCTTTATTAAAGAACATGATTCTATATGGAGCTGAAAAGAGTTCTTTCATGGTTACAAGCTTGACATCGGAGAAGTAGAAACAGAAGTACCCTTTTGGTGCTGTATGGAACCCATATCAGCAGCATCTACAGCACCTTCTCCATCAGTCTGAAGAACCCTTTCATGATGCAAGGGTTTAATCAGGCAAAGGGTTATTTGAGTGTTTATGGTTTTATTTTCTTCACTGAAGAACCCTTGAAGAACCACCTTTTCTTTAGAATCTCACTTTAAACCCCCCCCAGGTGCGTCTTTTAACCACAACTGGAGCTTCAAATTCAAACACTGGTGTGAATTCACGCAGCTTGGAGCGATGGTGGAAAGCAGCGGTTGCTGTGCGGGTTGAGAAGGCGCTTGGTGGTCAGCATAATTATTTGACCAGCTCTAATACAGTGACAGCACAACAGAAGACAAATCAAATGTAGTTATCTTAAATAATTCAGCACAATAAATATTCTTTCCCGTTTGATTGAGTTGGCCTGTGACTGATCTGGGCAGGTACCTTGGCCTAACCATGGCCTGACCATGGCCACACCCCTGCCCACAAGGCAAATTTTGTAAAAAGTCCTGGGTTTTTGAGGAGGTTCTCAACATGATCCTCATTTTTAAGGAAACTGGCTAGTTTTGTCTGCACTGTTTTGAAGTAGCACCTGGAGAGGTTCAACTGAGGAATCTGAACACACTTCAACAAAACCGTCTTCTGATAAATTTTAGTTTTTAACTGTTGCCTCACTTTCTTTTCGCTTCCTTCTTATTCTGAACCGCATACTTGGATGCTTTATTAATTAACTGTTAAAAAATAACAGTTTTTATGAATGAACCTGCAAATTTGGCCTGAAATTCCTTCATGTTAAATTAAAAAAAGAAATCTGATACTCAGACCTCTTTCATATCCGACACATACTGCTAATTGGCATTCATTCACTAAGACTCATCCTGTGTGTCTGACTTTCCATTATTTTGTCCGCTGTAGATGTAATCACAAACGCTTATGAATCAAGTAAAGCTTAAGTAGTTATTTCATACTTGTGCACAAATTGCTAATCACCCACATTTAGTGAGGGTCTTTTTCCTTCCTATCAGCCGGAGCAAGCTGACTGTTTCTATATGTAGCCGTAATTGTGCTAAGTTAGGCAGCAGTGCCTCAGATTCTATGTTGAGCTAAATGGAACGTTTACAAGGCCGTGGGAAGAACAAAAGGGTTTAATTTCCAGTATGTGTTACTGCTGAAGAGTTTGATATCTGGGACACGTTCACAGTCAATGGAAAATCTATTTTTTATTCTTTTTTTATTTCCATTGATGCTAAAATAACTTTTCTTAATGTCTTCAAGTACAAGTGCAAAGTATTAGTAAACTGTTAACTGTTTTGTGACTTTTCATGAGAGGAAGTTAGACGTCTAGTATTAAAGGCCCAATCCCATTTTACAGTCACAGGGTAGTGGTTGAAATGGGACCCTCAGATAAAAAGAGCATCACTTCATTAACAGCTACCAGCACTGCTCTGTAGGCGACCCTGCCAGTCTGCAGTGACAGCAGAGGAGGGTAAAGTTCAGCTCCTCACTGCTGGGCTTTAGTTACATTTAGGGCATCATATGATCTTCAAAGAGGGGGCAATTATTTATTATCACCACCCCTAATTCTTCAGTGATATGAAGCTGAAGTCAGATATTCACCAGCTTCTTGTTCAAATTTTCCCATTCCACCTTAAATGGAGCAGCAGTTTTGAGGCACCAGAATGTAGCTGCTACACCATTTAAGGTGGAACGGGAAATTTAGCTAGCTAGCCACCAAGCATTTTTATTCTTATAATGAAGAAAAGGACCAAAATACACTGAAACACCATTAAACTAAGATAATACGATGGTTATTGTAATTTTTAACAGAGAAAATTCTCACATTTGTGTGTTTCTTTGGTCTCTTGTTCTCCATCTTGCCAGTTTTTCTTTTTTCCCATAACTCTCTGTTTGGAGTCTCTGAAAAACCTCCGTTTGGAGGGTCATGCAGCTCTAACACTTCACCCTACCCCTCTATCTCAACAAGAATCAGGACACCCTACCGCTAGACCTGAACGCACAGTACAGAGGGCTAAGGGCTCAGTGGTAGGAGCAAGGGGTGAAATGGGACTGGGCCAAAGGGTCTGTCGGGTAAAGAGTTACATCACAGCGCAGCAGTTTATAGTGAATTATATTGTTGTGCAGTGCACAAGAAGAGATATTACTGTACAGTAAACTATACAGTATGAGAGGGCAGTATTTCATTATGCTAACAAGTGATCTCCAATATCCTATAGCTTTTTTACAACAGTCCTGCAGAACAAAGAAAAAAGTAAAGTAAAAGCAATCAAATGTGCTTTAATATCGGCAGTTCTTCAGTATTTCCCAGACTAACCTGAGTGTTTTGTTTTAGTCAGTCTATAAAACATCTCACAGCCCATCTTGGTTGCGGAATTGAGTTCTGTTTGTTTCTGGCTGATTCCAGTTTGTTTAGCAGTTTCTCTGTTACAGCTGTTCACCGAAAGCTTGTTTAGAAGCAACAACAAGTTCAGAATTTGATTTTGACCAGCTGTCACACTCTTTAGAATCTGACCAAACGGGCTGTAGGTCAAACATTACCATATAAATCTCATCTAATGTCAGTTTTCTATTTTCATATGTGCTAAAGTAGAAACTCAATAATGGTTAGCAGCTTAAAGCACGCTGTGAAGGGACTTGGCAGCCTGTGCTCAGTGGAATAATATGTCTGTTTTGGTAAAAATATGCTGTTCTCATGAATAACAGCACTATAAAATGTTTCTCCAATCAGATTGTGCTGTCAAAACCGTTGTGGAAGACGATGTTTGTCGTAATCGCTACATCACAGCAAACTGTAGATAGAAGAGCACAATTAGTCCTGTTTAATTGAGTTAAGTGAATGAATGTGCTCAAAGATTTTTATGCTATGTAGCACTTTCAGTTCCAAACCTCAATTTGTATATTGTGAAAATGTCTTGGTGTGTCATAAATTGATCTTTTAGTCGTATCGCCCACCCCCACAATGTACATTAAACAGTCTCTTTTCACACCTAGGTCTCATTCGGGCCCACTTTCCTGGGCGGCGTTCCGTCTCTCTCCGAGCTGCACGACAGCGCAGGTGATGTGTCCGGGTTTGAAGGCTGCATTCGTGAGCTGCAGGTCAACTCCAGAGAAGTCTACATCGCTGGGGAGGCGGTCCGAGGCAGAAACATCCAGAACTGCGATACACCAGTGTGCCAGCACCAGCCATGCCGGAACGGTGGGACATGCATCAGGTATGAAAATGTTATGGGTGTCCTGATCCAGTTTCTTTGCACCAGTCCCAATCCGAGTCCTTTAATATCACAAATCGATAAGCCCGATATTGGTGTTTTGTAGACAATACAGTCACACAGTGCACACTAAGTACCCTTAGTAAACCCCATCTGATTTAGGTAAGACGTGCAAAGCTGGCAGCTACTTTTAACTGCTACAGTATTACTGCAGTTTTAGTGAAATCAGCTTCTTTAAGGTGAATCGTATTGTATGAACTCCATTGAAAAGCACTGCCAGTGAAATGGGGAGCTGCTGTATATCTACGCTCTCTAATTGTATGTTCTCACCAGCAGGCGACAGAGCGACAGGCGACCAGTCGTTTCCTGGGAGTGCATGATTTCTGTGTGATTTAGCAACAAGTGACAAGTTGAAATTTTCTCAACATTATGCAAATGAACTATGACACAGTCTAAATGATTGTCACTTCCAGTCATAGTAGCTGGAGGTCCAAGGTCCCCAGCCTCTGCTCTCAGAGCTTTTTATTCTTAGTATTTTGTTCTTTTCCCAATAGTGTCACTCATTCAGAACCTAAGAGAAACTTAAAAACATTTAAATGTATAACTGTAAATCGTATTTTTAACAAAACAGCAATATATACTGTGGCATCAGCCTGGAGAGGGCTGACTGGGAAACCTGACGAGAGCTCGGAAACACACAAACACCAGCGCGAGTGAATACAGTGCTTTATTTATATGTCTTAAGTGTGATCATTCCCAAGTAAAGCCACCTCAGCTGTGCTGAGTCCCGTTGAGAGTCCTTTCTCTTTGTCTTTTAGGCCATGTGCAAGTGGCTCTGTGGTCAAAGTCCCACCCTCTTGCTCTCAAACTCCCCTGCTTCCTTACAGCTGTCCTCGATCAGGGGGAGGAGCATTCTGCCCATGGCTTGAGGTGTTTCAGTCACGGCTGCACCTGTAGGCCGTCACAATGAATAGTACATGTTTCTGCATTTCCTTGTCAGAAGCTCAACAGTGTACATGCTCAATGCACGGCAAGTCTAAAGTCAAGAAGCTTTGTGGGTTCATGGAGATCAGAGAGGCACTCTAGAATCCTCTACTCCTTTCCTCCTTAGGCTCAGTCCCATTTCACCCCTCATCCCTACCACTTAGCCCTACCCCTCAGTTTTGTGCGTTCATGTCTAGGGGCAGGATGTCCTGATTGTTGTTGAGACAGAGGGGTAGGGCGAAGTGTTAGAGCTACATGACCCTCCAAACGGAGAGTTGTGAGAAAATGGCTGAACAAGAGACCAAAGAAACCCACAAATGTGAGAATTTTCTCTGTTTAAAATACAGTAACCATCGTATTATCTTAGTTAATGTTGTTTCAGTGTATTATGGTCCTTTTCTTCATAACAAGCATAAAAATACTTGGTAGCTAGGTAGGTAGATTTTCTGTTCCACCTTAAATGGTGCAGCAGGTACATTCTGCCGCCTCAGACTTCAGAACTGCTGTTCCATTTAAGGTGGAACGTGAAAATTCATACAAGAATCTGGTGAATATCTGACTTCAGCTTCATATCACTGAAGAATTAGTGGTGGGTGATAATAAATAATTGCCCCCCTCTTTGAAGATCATATGAGTCCCTAAATGTAACTAAAGCCCAGCAGTGAGGAGCTGAACTTTACCCTCCTCTGCTGTCACTGCAGACTGGCAGGGTCGCCTACAGAGCAGCGCTGGTAGCTGTTAATGAAGTGATGCTCTTTTTATTTGAGGGTCCCATTTCAGAGGGAAGATTTCAACCACTACCCTGTAACTCAGTTCCAACACTCAAAAACAAGGGGTAGGGGTAAAAAGAAGAAATGGGCTTGGGCCTTAATGTCGGGCCTACTTGTGGCCCCCTTTAGCCAAGGCCTTGGAATAATCCTGGTTCTCCATCTTCCACTGCACAATGCTGCTGGATCTTTCTGGTGAATGATGACGCCTTTTAACAGTTTAGCTTTGTCCAGGAGCCTGGAATAAACAGATCGCTCCATATTGCAACAACACCAATCTCAGAAGACAGCGTGCCTCCTCTGACGGGTATGAATCCAGCCGCTGCTCCTGACCAAGCTGCACTGTTTTACCTTTGAGTCATATGGATGCCAATTGGTGGGAATGGAGCTTAGCCATATGGGGACAGACGGACCCTGCTGCCTTTCCCTCACGATCCGAACACAGCCCGTAATGTTCTTTGGAACCCCCAGTCACAGGCAGCATATGGCACAGCTGGGTTTTGGATCTAAGTCCCAGTGGTAGCTTGTGCTTCTGAGCTGAACTTGCAGCAGATTTGCCTCTCAAGAAAATAACTTTCTTTTATGAGCCACTGAAGTCAAACCAGCACGAGTAGCTGTCCTTGGGTGCCTCGGCACATGACAACACTCAGCTTCAGTGTTCCAGTCACAGCCTAATGTCTTCTTTAATGCTAATCAATTGATGGAGAATCAAAAACCATCAGCTGTACATTAGGCTAAAAAGGTTTCATTTGCATTTACCTTTCCTAAGATAATGAAACATCCATTAGTGGTGGCCAATATGACGATATGCTGCCATTATCATGATAACTTACACCCTGAAACTATATTGCGGCTGAGTTTGTGTGTAAAGTGGACAGACAGTCTTTTCTTTTGCCTTAATTGCAGATTTTCCGTTAGCAAACTTGCCTTTGTTCAGAGTTGTGTTCAAAGTCCTGTGGTTTGGGTTTAGTGTGGTGTGGAATGCAGTGTTAGACCTTATCAAAGATGTCTGCATTATTGGAGTAAGAGAGGTCACCTCAGTAGAAAATTATTTCCGCTTATAATTTGGATTCATTCTGAACATCTGACTTATTTTTCCACATGGAAGGTCAAAAGGAGCGTGTTTAAGTGAACTATGTCAGCCACAGAAGGATATCAGGACTGTTCGCGCTCTGGCAGCGTTATTAATGCGTCGTTATTCCTAGTAATTTTCATCAGACATAATTAGTGCTATCAAGGTAAAGTATTTAAATGAAGTCTTCGATATGAACGTGCTGTAATTCCATTAAGCGCATCATCTGCTTCCAATATTTCGGCCGCACGTGTGCGTGCTTTTTTTCCGCCTGGCATTGTTGTTGCTCAGGGAAAGAGTTTGTAAATATTGGGAAATGCTATGCAGATGTTAGCAGGAAGACGCACACTTGAGTTTTAAATAGCTGTAATCACAGGCTTGATTGCATTACTGATGTATGCTAACAAAGGTGCGGATGTGTGACTGCGTGAACCTCCAGCAATCATTTGATTGTGGCCTACTCTCGGTGGTGAATACTTATGTCACTCGCTTTTGTAAAAGCAAACAGTCTTTTGATATGTACATTAGCAGGTTTTAGTTGATACATAAAGGGGGTTTTAATCATGTCTTTAAGGGGGCATCATGGGCCAATCAGGAGTGTTTTAGAAGGGTTGACAGATTTGTTTTCCTCTGGACATACATGCTTTTAAAGGGGCCAGAAAGAGTTTTTTTGGAGCGATGCTGTAGAAGAACCCCTTTCTTTAACCCCCCTTTAAAGGCTCTTCATATATCATGAGCCTCATATGTTTCATATCTAAATGCTCCGTTATCTTCATCACTACTTTCCAAAACCGCTGCAGCAGCTTCAGCAGCTGTAAACTCTCTGCACACCATTTCACATGAGTCTCCGATGTGGACTGAATGAAGAATGAAGGGTTTCCGGCGTGATGGTCAGTCCTTAGTGATTTCCTGAGTGTCCATTGGTCAGTTTCACATAGAATGTAGACGGACACACAAATCCATTGGTTCCATAACTCCGGATGTGAGTCTCGTTTGATCTCGTGATAAGATGGAATGGAAAGGGCGACTCTACAGATTCAGGAAGTGTTTGAACTGGATTTCTGAGCTGGATCATCACAAAGATACAGACACAGATATAGAAGCATTGAATTTAACATGCAGGTGAGTTTGTAGACCCCAGAGAGAGGGTTAAAGAACCTGCTTTGTAAATGCATCAAAAAAGTCGTTGTTTTTTTTTATTTCGAGTCAAAACTGAGATTAAGTGCATGTTATTAATTTTTTAGCATTAGGAGAAGAAAGAGGGGGATATATTTAACATAAAATTGCACAGAAGCCTCAACAGCTAAGTAGAATATCCTTTATTAATATTTAGTGTGTCCACTCTCTTTATTACAGCTTCCATTCTTTAGGAGATTGCACAGTATTTCCTTTAAAGTTCAGTCTTATAAGTTGGTTGCACTTTCTGTTTATTGAACATTTTTTACAGTTTAAAGAACCTCCCTAATTGAAATGTTCAGTTTTTTATTGCTAGAACGAAACATCCAAGTCAACATCCATTTAGGAACCTTCATCTTTAAGAGTGTGTGACTGCTGAACCTCCACTACTGTGAGAACACTTCTGTCCTCAGCGTGTAGACCTGCCTTTCGCCTGATTCAGAAGTATGTTTATTTTTTAAATATAGGTCACGGCCATCGCAGCGAATGCTGTTGCGGTCTTACAGGCTTTTGAAAGCAGAAAATCCGGGTCCAGAAGCCATCTACGAACGGAGATGTTTTGTAAAAGCTTACAGCACTTGGCTTATACATTACCCTCCAGCCTCATCTCTAATGGTCCATAGAGAGACACCTGAAAAAGGGGGCAAGCTCTAATGGAGAAGTCTGGCCTCCTGCGTTTGCATTTAAATCGTCTCATTCTCGTCACGCTCTCGCCCTCATTTCCCCGCTTCTCTCCAGTACATCTGCATTTGCCTCAAAACAAATGAACCCGCCCGTCTCCGAACACTTCTCTTTGATCCCGCCGCTGTGCTCTCAGCGCACGCTGGCCAGATATCTCGCATTCACATGCTGAATAGATGCTCTGCGAGAAAGGACAGTCCCATCTTCGCAGGAAAGGCCTCCTCCTCCTCCAGTGTGACTCAATGAATGCAACGAGGGAATTTGTGCTTGGCCCCGGTGTGAACGCTGCCTTCAATTACACAGCTCCATTAAGACGGCCCTTC